ATTTTTTTTTTTGAAAATGGGGAATACAACTGTACAAGGGGAGATAATGTATTTGATGGGGAAAGGGTAAAATATATGTTGGTCAAGTTCATCGGGCGGCGGTTGTGATTCAGTTAGGTTAATGTGTGTTACGGGTTGCTTATATTGGATAATTAATACAAGTTTCGGAGGTGATAGACAGGAGCCTGTACTACGTATTGCATACACGGAGGAGCCTATATGCTTTTACTTGTAAAATTTAAGGGGGAGGAGATCCAAAACAAACCTTTTCTTTCTACTAATAACCACCTTATATCCTAAAATGATCAGTGTTAGCCGCAGTCACCCTGTGCGGGGTCAGAGGTGGTGTTTGATGACGACATAGCGCCAGCCGATATTGATGGTGACAGGCTGGAAACTGTGAAGGTGGTCGAGGTGAAGTCAGCTGCAGCAACATAACATGTTAGACACAGGTCGCACAGGAGATTGTGCAAAAAATGTTGATGTTGATGTGGCAAAAAAATGAGAATGATACGGCAATGAGGTAAGCTAGACTGAATTTTGTAGACGACGATGAGTAGATATTGTTAAGACTAGCGGATTCTGACAGGTGACATCGATCCCAAAAATCTGTGTAACTATATCCTGTGTTATATAGTTTACCTATTCCAATATTTCAAGTCGCTGACCAAGGTATTTACCAGGGTATTTACCCTGTCGAGTTATCATAAATATTTTAAAGATATGTTAAGTATATTAAGTGCATAATAATTTTGTTCAATGTATTATTAAAAATAAAAAATAATTATACTACAAAACACTAGTTTATTCAATTGCAGGCTCGTATATAAAATAAAACGATACCTACCACCTAGTTAGTAAAGTTATATACTGTATAATATACCTACTTTAAAAGTTTCATGTACCCGAGAGAAATATTTTTAAATTACAATTATTGTGGATTTACTCTCAACTCTTTTTTTAATTTTCACTAGCAACAACTTATTAAGGAACATTGTAATACATTTTCAAGCGTTTTGACAAAACAATTTTTTTTTTAACTACAATATTTAAAAAAAAAACATTATAAATCGAAATTAATATTAAATAAATAGCTCAAAAAGAGTTAAAATATTTTGAAAACTTTATGATGTATAGAAAAATAGAAAATGCTACTATATATATTCAGTAAAAATATTATGTATCTATAGCCATATTTTTTTAGAGTTATACAAAAACCGAAATCGATTTTGTAGAAAACTGGTTTAAAAGTACCCACTTTCACATCAGAAAAGATACCGAAGTTGATAATCAAATCATAATTATTTTGACTAATAATTACGGTGTGAACACTTATACACACACGCAATAAAAAAAACATAAATAATTTTAAAATCAATACAATATTCGCTCTGCTCGAAATCTGAAATTGTAGTGTACCTTTAAGTACTTTTTAATATAGATTTTTTTAAATATATCAATAGGTAACCAATAATCATGCAATGGCCCAATGACAATTTGTTTTAATAATGGTTGAGGCAAGTCTTACAAAAAATGTGCACCCCGATGTAGAGGTAACGCAAAAAAAAAGTTGGGTGTACTTAGGGGATTCTATACCGACCGTTTTTAAGGAGTTGAGTATAGGCAATCTATATATTGGTGTGCATGTGGGCGTGTAGTAAATGATCATTAGTGTGAGTGACTGACGGCGAGCTAGATAAGCGTGGCGCACTCGCATGCACATGTCACATGGCTAACAACAAATTTATTTCATGGCGAAATGTTGTAAATCATAGACCTAAACGAATTCCAACATTCCGACCCGAGTTTTACACCGATAATAATTTTAAAAACAAATTTTGTTCTGTTGTTCTATCAACTTTGAATTCTTTCGAGCCACATTTTTAATTTATTATTCTTAAAAAGAAAAAACCTCACTTGAAATTTAGAAAAAAAAACTTGTATTCTTAAAAATTGGACATAACTAGTTTAAACATTTTTTTTTTATTATTCTGATTTGAAGGATTCAAAATAGACTTAATAATAAATTCAAATATGTTTTCAAAATTATTATAGGAGTAAAACTCAAGTTAGTACTTTCGAACGCGTATACTCGTTACTCGTTATAACGCGTTACTCAAAAAAGTGGTAGTGTGGAATCCTCTTAAAATTATTATATAGGACACAGTGGAGGAACTAGGGGGGTGAAGCCGGGGATTGATCCCCGGGCGTAAAATTTTAGTGGGCGTAATTTTTATTTAGTTCTTTATTTAATGCTTGGTGATAGAAGTTAAGAAAACATTTTTATTTCACATTATTTGTTTATGATGTTGTAGTGATGACGTTGGAATTAATGAAAAAAAAAAAAATAAAGTTAATGGTATTATGAATAGATTCGTATTAGTATTATACTAAGTATATACTGGTATACTGGCATTAGCATACCTACTGCAAGCATATTTATATACAACTAATATACTATAATTATTAAGATTCTGAGTGAAAATGTAACTAGTAACTATACCTAGGCATATTTTATTGATGCTGTGTTTTTGTTAAAATTTCTGATACCTACACAATAACTGTTATAAGATTATCAATCAACGTACGATACGTATATTATATCTGTAAATTAAAAATGATGTTAATATATAGTTTATAATATTATATATTATAATATTTACCGAGATAGTTATACATTTGTTTATGTTTAAAAAAAAATATTTGATTTTAAATATTTACTTTTTCATTTTTTCTATTATAAATTGTTTAATTAAGTACAATTTTTTACTGGCCTAAATTGTGTACCCTAATCAGAATAAAAGATTTTATATTTTACCATAAAAATCTATTATAATTGAAGGCTGAGGCGCATAGAACCAAAACAGTAAAAGGGTTTATAATTTTTATACAGGATAGGTAGCTAATTAAAATTTTGATTATTTTTCAACATTTATATATAACTGATATTATTATTATTTCTAATAATAAATACAATTAAGTAACCACTACAGTATTTCCAGTAATTAAAAATGTATCAACAATATGTTAACTAAGTTTTTAAATTTAAAGTGTTTTTGGTGTGAATGTGTGATAGTTCATTAGTATAAACTTGGTTACACCACAGTCCACAGAATATATTAATTACTATATATTATTATGTGTTTAAAAGTTAATAAGTATGTTTGTAATTTTAGTTCCAGTTATGATAAAACAATTGTAGGGAATGATTTTGTATATTCAGTCTTGGTCTATGATTGGGCTTAATTTTAATATTTTCCCCGGGCGTAAAAATTCTTAGATCCGCCTCTGATAGGACATATAGGTACTTCAGTGGTACCTGCGTACAGTCGTACCTATTAACATTGTTCTATGCTATTAACAAGGCTGATGACGTTAATAATATTTTTAACCCAGTTATCTAAGTTAACTTGGTTTTGTTTTTAAATTAAATTAAAAATTGAGTTAATATTGGTACATTTTTAATAGGGATGGAGGTTAATTTTGAATGAAAACGTTTGTAATGCAGTATGGCATTTGGCGATAGGTCATGTAGTGATGTAGTCTGTAATAACTTATAGTTCTTTGTGTACCTTATGCAATTTTAATACTTCTTGAATATTTGATTTTAAATCTTCACAGCAATACTTAGACTTAGTATGACAAGTCATAGACTTAGACGACTTAGTACCTACCTAAGTATAAGGTCTGTGTTTTAAGAGGACGCTACACCGGCATGTATATTGTTTTGGTCTCCGTCTTACAAATTTAAAACATACCAAAAAAGGTTTTGCGCGGGTAAGAACCAATCAGGCTGTGGTCCAAGCTAAGCAACCAAATATTCACACTATAAAGAGTATAACGTTTACTGTGCAAAGTCGTTAACATTTTTTGTTAGAACTAAAAAGAAAGTTGGAAAAACTCAAACATAGGTAAGAGTTTTTAAACAATAGAACTTTTTTTGTACACGTCATATTTAAAAAATAAGTAAATGTTCTCCTCTTTATAGTGTGAAAATTGGTCGCTTAGCTTTGACTACAACCTGAGTGGTTCTTACCCGCACAAAACAGTTTTTGCTAAGTTTCCTTAAGTCCGTGGTTAAGTCTATCAAGCACGATTTAAGATATCTTAAATCACGGTGATTACCCCATAGAGTATTTCATCTATTCTGTGGTATAACAAGTAACAACCCTAAGGGCCGGTTGCATAAAGACCAGTCTGTAAATGTTTTCACGGACCTGTAACTTAATCACTCGTTAACTCGTTAACGGCTTGTAAAAAAAAAAATGAGTTTCATAAAAGATTATTATTATTTTGTATTTTATTGATAACCATAACTACCAAATAAATTATACCACATTTAATTTGATTACAATGATTGCTGATTATATTATTAATACTAATAAAAAAAAATGTGGCTGATAAGAAATTTTAATATTTCTTATCACCATATTTAACGGATCGTTAAAAGTTAACGAACCAAAATCGGACCTGTAGTTTACAGGTCCAATAGCCGATAATTTACAGACCCGTTAACGTTAACAGTCGTTCAAGCAACACCCAATTTTTTTTAACGGATCGTTAGTGCGTTAACGGCTCTGTAAATCGCTAATGAACGTTTATGCAACCCACCCTAAGACCGTGGGATTACAGAACTCATGAACATTCATGTTTACGTGCTTATCAATAAACCATTATCAATGCATTGTGATAAGTGTTATCTCAGTGTGTGCAAGGTGGACTAAATAATCTTAATTCACCTTTCAAATAATATTATCACAGAACAATATTATATTTTATACAATTTATTTACGCGTAAGGCATAATAATTATAATTTATAATTTGTTACAGTCGTTCCGCATTCGTATCGTTCTTGTCAACGGGTACAAGGTAAATTTGACGTGTCTTGTCGATATAACCAAATCCGGATTATTTTGCATCTGAACGTTCCTCGCTGGTCGGGTATTTCTGGTGTCCGAATAAATTTCACTTCACATCACACAACTATGGTATTCGCTAAATGGAACAGCCCAGCGTTTCAAGCAGAACTTATCAGCTGCTAGACATGTCGGACTCCGGCAGCAGTTCGTCTGCGCACATTCCGCCATTGATATTGACTTCTCCGAGGAAGAAGAGATACAGAAAGTGAGTACACTCGGTGGCCGGTAGTCAACTGCTGGTCACGTTGTCAGTATTGGTTGTAATTTGTTGTCGATTTATTTAATTATAGGTTTGGCAACAATAGAGACAAGTTTGCCGAAAAGGTAACATTTGAAAAATGTCGCTTACAGTCGCGCACGGTATGTGTGTTTTTTGTTCTATCTGTTCTCATTGTCTGGTTGCTGACAATGAGTTGGTTCATCAATGCTTTACAAAACGAATTGGACAAATTCAACCATACCATTATAACAAGTAAGACTTCCAAATTGTTTTTGCCAATATTGTCATTTGTTTCCTCAAACCACTGATTGGCAACTTATGGTTCTACTTTCTACTACAATAGGTACATGTTTTTCCAATCATATGACATTTTTATGGATTTATTTTTACCCATAATACTTTTATTGTTTACAAAAATACATTAGTATTAGTACATTATAAATATATCCAACGAAAAAACATTTACCTAACTAACTACATTTTTAAATCGCAAACAATTGTGTGTATGTAGTTTGATAACTAAGATACAAATTTATATAACTAGATAGTTTTTAATAATTTATTACCCAATAATCACTATAATTATAGGTTGGTGGTTTTTGACAGTCATTATTTTTTGTGACCTTGTATAAAATATAAAAACCAATTTTAATAATAAAATCATTGATGACAAGATTAATGACAAGATTTAGTATATTTGTTGCTTCATAGTAATTTGTTTAAGAGGACATTACACATTTGTTGTCTCCGTCTTACAAGTGTGTAACGTGACAAATTGTCACTCAGCAGAACACGTTTAGCTCCATTAGTTTAAAAAGTAAAGTGAATAATAAGTTAAATAAAATTTAAAGGTAAGATTATTATCTAGGCAGTCTCATGAAGTTTTTATTATATTTTAATTTCAAATGAAGTTATAAGTATTTTAAAACTTAAATTGTTTGTACATCTTAAAATACTCTAAACTCGCTTTAAAATTAAAATATAATAAATAGCTGATGACTGATGAGATTGCCTAGAGCCTAGATAATAATCTTAACTGTTCTGCATCCCTCTACTTTTTTGTTAGATGAATAATAGAAGAATATTATGATGAAAATCTGAATTGTAAGGCATCCCTCCATTTATCTTGAGCCATTTCGACTACTGTGCATAAGGCATAACTATACTATACTTATTTATATAAAGGTAATAAGTATATATATTAATGAAATTTGATTTTAAATTTAGTAAATAAAGGGGAGAAATTGCCCTCAATACTCCACTCTTCTATTTGCTTCTAACACACATATTATAACATGGAAAAATCAAATTTAATACTTATACTAACATTTAAATAATTAATTTAAAGAACAAAATTATAATCTTATCATGAGAATAATCATTTAAGATTTAACAGATTTAGTAGTAAAAAATTAATGTAGGCCAGATCAATTTGATTGTTTTTTTTTTTAAATTTAATTATTTAATTTAGCAATGGCAAAATATTGTTATTAGAGGCAGTTGTTGACAGTCTCCTGCTTTTGTTGCACAGTTATTTCATAATATCAACACAATCTATCTTATTAGTTATTGCATTATTGCATAACTAACATAAAAAAATATTGACTCTTTACTACAATACATTTTAATGTGTTTTCATGTAAACAACTATTATCATGTTGGTGATTTTGAATATACTAGGTCATTCAAATTTTACGTAATCTATTATTTTTTGTAAACAGAATACATTATTTTAATATTTTCTATTAAAATCTCGGTACTGCTTTCGTTTTGTAGCAGATTATATGATTGTAAAAATATAATCTAGAGTATTATATTAAGAGATCCCACATCTAAAATATATTAAATAAATATATTGTCTGATTGATTAGTGTGATACTGATACTCGTAGAAATAAAATGTGGTTATTTGCCATTTTATGTACTTGTATGACAGAGATAACAAATATTTGTGTAGCGTCCTCTTAAATGACCGGCCAATAAACTAATCAATATTCTAGACAAATATACTTTGGAAGTACACCAGTTGTGGGAAACCAACTTAATGATTTAATTTCTATTTAGCCAGAATAAATTAATCGTAAAATAGTTTTTTCTCGTTATTGCAGTAAAACTGTATTAATTACATTTTTCATCACTTTTAAGGCAAAATATTGTCACTCGTGTAATCATGTACTCATGTATTATGCAAAAATAATAGACTTAGAATTTATAAACTAATTAAAACTTACAAGTATAATTTAGTTTAAATAGTATAGATAAGTTTCTACATAGGTCTAGAGTATAAATCGATGGCGTAGCGCACAAGTGTGATAAGTGACATTTTTTTGAAAAATGAGTTAAGTGCATAATCAATTTAATCATACAATTCTGCACATTATGCCCAAACGTTGTAAGTGAATAGTTCATTATTTACTCCGATAGACGTCGTACAGTTCGTTACATTTTTGAATTTGTTATGACATCTCAAACTTAAAAATCGTTCTCCTGAACAATTACGAAAATGTCACATATAACACTTGTGCGCTACGCCATCGAAATAGTTTATTTTGTTTAGAGCTTATAATTTGTTAATTATTACCTATTCTACATTCTTAATTTACCATACTTTATACGATTAATTACTTATACATCTGTGATCTGTATGACATATACTAAATGATTTAATGCGTCATAGAATTGTTTTGTACTCAAATGGACAATTACATACCAAATTTTAAACATAATTTATATAAAATATATTCAATATCAAACATTCAAGGTCTGATGTCTGTAAAGTATAAACACAGAACATAATATTACTGTTATAAACGATAACCGTGTGATTTGAAAAAGAAAAGTTTTTTTTATGTCCTATATCAATAATTATATTTCTTTGATTTAGAACTAAGACTTTTTTTTCTTTATAATTTAGATGTCATTAAATGATTATTTTTGTATAATATATTACAATTTTTTTATCGGCTAAATTTTATTTTATTATCTCAGATTTTAAAAAAAAGAATGTATCTCTAAGTTTGAACTAAGATATCTTAGTGACTTGGTCTATGAGTAAAAATATTCATATTACAAAGATTAACAAGAAAGTGTTTAGGTACATTTTATTTATAGGTAGGTTTGTGTAATTTAATTATTCATAAAAATATTTATTACATTTTATATATTATGTTTCACTATACAATGTTCAGATCCAATATCATATGATGTTCAGTGAATCCCATAAATATGTTGGTAATGAACAACATCAAAAAACTATCATCTATATTTTATAACGAATAACGATTTCTGTAAATCCAGGATGCATTATGCTTATAATAATAATCTTTATTAGCGGAAATTAATTCCGATTTCAAATGTATAGCAACAGATAGTGTGCACAATTATAGTGTTTTAATTAAATTGAATTATAAATTATAATATTCTCCTAAATAATAAATATAACAAATATAAATACGAATAAGATTAGTGCCATACTGCTATAACTAGTGAGCCAAAGACCCAGATTCAAAAGTGTCTTAAAGAAATTATAAGGATAAAAAATATAATTTTTTTTTAAAAAAGCGTTTTGTAGCTACTTGAAATCATATAAAAAAATTATTTTCATAAACGTTAATATTTTTTGAAATAAGGAATTTCTTACTCTAAATTAATCTAGGTATTAACTACAATAAATCTATAGATTATATTTGTGGCGAGAACTTTTAAAACGAGCTATATCAACACATGTGTAATTACTTAAAATGCACTTTTATTACACACAGCCACACAGGGAATCGTTCATGAATAGTACGTATCTTTTTTAAATAGATTAGGTAATAATGATTTTTCTCTCGAGTCTAAGGGGCTAACACAAATAATTACAATAATATAAATCGTATAGTTTTTGTAGATCTATGTCGTAATTATTATGAAGAAAATAAACAAACATCATTTTAATCATACCCACCACACCCCGCGTCTAAACTAGTCAACTCCTTTTGATGCGATCCAACACCGACGTTAAAGGTTCGTTGTTGGCTTGAAATGGCTGTGAGGTGTGCAGAATTCGCTCTGAGTTGAAACTCGGGCCCGTAGATAAACATTTTATAGAGCCACATATCCGAGTAAAAACGTACCTATATAGTCACGAACTTGACTGATGAACCAATTGGTATATAATGATGCCACGACCAATGTATTTAATTTTACGTAGATGATATAAATGAAAAAAGTTTTTGGAAAATTCGAGCATGCTCGGCCCCCGGGCACGTTACGCCTCTGGCGGCGGCGGAAAATTACAGACTATTGATCAGACCGCGTGCACATATTGCTCCACCCATCACCCCATCGTCGGCGGCGGCGACAGTTCAATTGTCTGAGTTCTATAGCCATCGCCGCTGCAGTCGGCGAAACACGCGACCACGAGAGACCATGTAAAAATCATTACACCGTCATTGTTGCAGGATTATATAACAACGATATTATATAATACACCATTATGTTAAGCCGAATCTACCCTTAGTCTATTCGTGGATAGCGTATTCGTCAGTCGCGGGACAACCAAACTACCCCCCCCCCCCCCCGGTGTACATACTACATACCCGCGGAATTCGGCCACTATAAAGTTACTTGCTCGTCGAATCCGCACTCGCCTAACATTATCGTCTACCTCCATTCGCCTAGCCCACCCAAAACAGACGCGTCGTCGTCATGCCTGCGGCCGATGAGCAGTGACGTGAGCCGGCGATTCTCGTCGGCCGTCGGCGGCGGCGGCGGCAGTAGTGGCTGCAAAAAAATGCGGAAACGGAAGGAACTGGACGCGCTGACCGGTTGCACGGTGGTCGGCGTCAACCGGAACCGCAGGCTGATGACGTGCTCGTCCGACTCGGACTCGTGTTCGTCTTCTCGGGCGCCGCCCACGCCCATAAAGCTCCGGCGGCAGATCACACGCCGGCGAAAACGGACGTTCGTCACCGACACCTGGTGCAGCGCCCTGAGGATGTTCCTGACGTTCGGCTGCGTTGTGTGGGTCGTGTTCGAGACGTACACGTTCCTCGACGTGCGCAAGATCCAAGCGCACTTGCAAACGCAACTCGACGAAGGTGTGTGACGGGGTGGGCATCCGTTGTGCAGGGGTGGGGGTTGTTATTTTCGGTGAACTGACAGACTACGCGTGGTCTATATTTCGTAAATATAATGTTGATGTTTGTATTATGTACAGTAATATTATTCTCTTGCCGCGTATGTAGAGAGCTCAAACATGATGTATGAGTTGTCAGTGAGGATGTGGACACTGTTGAACCCAAAACATAGTCATACGGTGTAATGTGTTCATCAAGGTGTTCACGTATGTTGTTGCACTATTTTTCTAAACATTGATACATTATTTTCTAGTTGCTGCCGGAAATCGTGGAGTTCCAGATGACTTACAGAAATGTCATGCCATGTCTAAACAGCTTCAACAAAACCAGACCGATATCAATCAACGTCTAACAGTGTACGACGGACAGATCACAAACTTAACACTACAGGTGAGTTTTATTTTTATGATTCATGTTACCGGATTACTAGATTATGTGGTGATTGCTATTATAACAATTTACAGATTACAATCAAATACATAGTAATCTGTCACTGTACGGATCTATAACCGTGCTATAACGTGTTTTTATATTTTACCACATTTCCAATTGAGAAATATTTTATTTCACATTACTTTATTCAAATTTTAGGTTGCTAATTTGGGTTCAAGATTATCGTTAGTTGAGAAAAAAATCAATGAGAACACAGACCTTTTATCAAATCCAGATGCCACAAAAGATCCATCCATAAAAGTCCTATCATCAGAAGTTGCTAAACTTGGTAGTACTTATCAAGACTTAAGCGGTAGTGTAAAATCGCTCAAAGATACTACTAGTTCATTACAGTCATACCAAACAACATTGAAAGCCAACATTACTTCAATAAGTGTACGCAATAACAAATATTTAAATAAAATTATTTTTACATTTCATTTTTTATCAAATAGGAAAAATTAAATAATGTTGGGAGTATTAAAACTGATGAAACTATGATCAACAATGTGTCTCAAAAGTTACACGAACTAATTGAAAGTATAAGTTTGAATGTCACGACCTTAAACCGAACACTTACCAGCCGAATAGATTGGTTATCTGGAGATCAAAAAACCAATGGGGTGAGTAATTATGAGTGCCTACATTATAGTATTTTAAATATAGTTATAAATATTATCTTATATTTTCTAAAATTGTATTATAATCTGAAGCTGGGTTAATACATCTATATCAATCTATATTTTGCAGGTGGAAATAGAGAAATTGAAAGAGGACAGTCAGAAACTAATCGCTCAAGTAAAAACAATTGACACCAAATTAACGACATCATTTAATGAAGTGAACTCAAAAGTAAAGAATTAGGTATTCATTATGAATTATTACTATACTAATATTTTTATTATGTTACAGGTTATATCTCTAAGAACTCAAATTGACAAGGTTGCAACTAATGTTACCAGTTTACACGCTCAATCAAATTTTGATGACTCTCTAACGAGTTCTGGTCAATTAAAAGGTAAAATTTTAAGTTTGCTTTGTACCTTTATTAGAACTAGCTATATTATATTATATATATTATATTAGTATTGGAGCTAGTGAATTTAGTGAATTTAGATAGTTCTACCCCTATGATTTGATAATTTTTCAAAAAATTCTGCCCTTATGAAAAGTATTGTTAGAGATAGGTTTTTGAACCATCAAAAACCTCAAATTTTAAGAAATACAAACAGTTTGATGTTTGAGAAAAATTTACCAATATCTAATATTATGCATAATCATATATATTTGGAAGTTAAGTTACTGCTTTGATTAAATAAATAAATAAATGTATTGGAATAAATTATTATTTAGTATGTTCATGATTGATTAGTATAATTAAGTTATATAAATATATAATATCAAAGTATCAATCTTTCTGAGTTTCCGCATTGAAATATTTACTACTATAGCTCTTAACAATGAATGAGCTATTTTTAACGTATTTAGATTAGGTTGAAAAGCTGCAGCTTGCAATTATACGAAAGTAACTAAATTTTTGGTTGCACTAGACTTTTATTGTGGAGTTGTTGTTTTATCTTAAACATCCCAAGGTCTCATAATTACTATGATGGTCTAGCTAACTACTTGCATAACATTATTAGAAATGTTACATTATCTTAAATTCTATAAGTATTAAAAGAACTTGTTATTTGAAATTTTTTTTTATAAAGACACATCTAAATATGTATTAGTGAATTTTGTGAAAACCAATGTTATGTATTAACATTAAATTTTTTATTTTCAGGTGATAAAAACGGAACTCAGACAAAATCCTAATATTAGTATTTTTTGTGTTTTATTGTATGTGCACAATTTTGTTGAATAATTTTGTTTTATTTTTTTCTTAATATAATAGTTTAAATGTTTACGTTTATATTTGAGTTAATGAGTCTTGTTTTGGTATGATGTTTGATTTGTAATTTTAAAAAAATTTACCCAAAAATAATTCGTCTAATCTATTTTATGGAGTATGTACTATTTGATAGTAATATTTATAATTCCTATTAAATATTAAAATCAAAATTTGTAAAAAAAAAAATAAATTTAACTGAGACTATATGATGACATTTGAACTTTATAAATTTGAAAGCAATGTTGTTTTTTGCTGTTAATATTGTACTTTTTTTCTAGTATAAACATTTGAAAATTATTACAATAAAAAAAAAAATTATTTTTCTATATTCATTGAAATTAATTTTATCTAAACTTGTGAACTTTGATTGTCTTATAAGCAAGTGTATAATTACAATATGGTAGCTGTCCCATACATTTAAATGAACAAATTACACTTTATGTAGGTACAGTTATAGCCGCAATAAATTATTCAAATCATATGACAATTTCAAAGTACTTTTATTAACATTTTGTCATAACTACATAATTAAATAGTATACATTATATCAGTTAATTAATATTATTCAGTAGGCAAATTGTTTTTTTTTTTAATTATCAAGTGATATGTTAACAATTATACCAGAATATAATGAAAACAAAAAATAAATAATAGATAATATTTATATGAAGTTTTAATTTCTAAAACTGTTGGCGATACATAATTCGTAAAAATAAAAAAAACATTTGAAGCTCAATTTTATATTATACAATGTTGTGTTTTCATAAACTAATATTGTTTTGGCATTCAACATTAATATTTAATTTTATGTAAGGTATGTTTTGTTGCGAAGTGTTAAGTTTACAAAAATGTTTGATTTAAGCACAGACACTCTCGCCTTATTATTCATTACCATAAAATGCTATAAAATATTAATTACTGCAATATTTAGAAGATACCATAAGAAATTAAAAGAAAAACACCTGAGTATAAGTGAAGTTGAGTGCTGGTTTTCTGAAAGCATTAAGTATTTTATAAACAAAACAATTAATTTTTAATTAATGTTAAATAAATAAAAACTTATGCGAAACCTTGTATTAAATTTTCATCAATTTTTCTCAATATTTATAGAAAAAATACAAATCAAAAAAAAGGTAGTCTTGTGGATGCCGCTCTACTGTAAATGTACCTACATTTTGATGATATAAAAGTATAAAACCATTGTACACGTAAAACGATTCCGAGCGTGAAAGTTCATTAATGTTTTTAACTTGTTTAAGTTGTCACCCTGAAAAATAATTAACCAAGATATGTAAAAGTTAATTAGTAAATATCAATTACTTTTAGTTAAATTACAAATTTTCAGGAATTTACGTTTGCCCCAAATAATTTTTAGCTTATTTAATGGGTTGTACAGAACAGGTCACAGATACGCAAAGTCATTACTTACTAGCTGATCCAGTGCACTTCGTTGCCCGTTAAATGTACCAACTCTTTATGACTCAAACCTTGTTCAATTCGCTAATTAATATTGGTGTATGGTGTTCAAAATTTATCTCAACTTTTTCGTTGCCCGGAATAAAAATTCTGATTCGCAGCAGTGTATTAACAGATAGGCAATCTACCTGCGGTAGGTCGCGGACCCCGTGCTGTTTGTACTTAAGTGTATGATTTAACTCTAGATTATCAAAGACAAAAGTTATACCAAGTTTATCGTTTTTACTTAATTCCAATTTTTAATCAATTAATACAAAATCCTAACCCAACCGTACTATAAAACCTGATGAATAAAAAAAAACAAATTTAACCCTTTTTAAATTAGCCAGCTACCTTCTACCCAGAGATCTAATCTACACACAAACATTCATTTTTATATAATATATATAAAAGGAAGAATGGGCTGAGAGAATTGTCAAACGACCAATGTTGGCCGTGTCGCTTTCAGTAGCGATGGCGTTACGCAAGTGGATGTACTCCTCTGATAGTCTGATCGTAATTTCGACTGATTGAAACGAATGAGACGAATTGAGACGCTCCATTAATATTAAAATTAAAAAAAAATAATAAATAAATATTATACTCAACCCCTATAACCCATAGCAACCATTAATAAACAAAAATGTCTATAGTAAATCTCAAAATTCATGTTTTAGTACCTATCGGCTAATCATGGGTGATCAATTCCCTTTTTAATTTAGCCTATGACACTCACAAAGAACGTGGCTTTCTATTGGTGAAAGAATTTTGAAATCGGTTCAGTAGTTTCAGAGTTTACTTTCGACAACGGTAACCAACGACTCCTCTTTATATAATATTATAGATTAATGTAACAATAGTCATAATATTATTAATTATTATATAATCGGTTGACGAAATAACTTTAAACACAGGATAACGATATTCTATGAGATCTTTGGCAGGATGAAAGACTGCCTATATGAATGTGAGCGAGTTGACATTGTCTCCTTGTTTATAATTTGTTATTGATGTGTATTGGTTATTGAATATACCTACTATTAAAATAAGAATCATTTAACACTCATTTTTTGGTTTTTCAATCTTTTACATACCTATTTGCGTCTTACAAGTGGCGCCGCACTGATGTTTAGAAAAAACTAATTTTTTTTAATGTGATTTTGTCATGATGGGAAACTTCCGAACATTTCTCCAGCCCCCGATGTTTCGTACATTTTCTCTTAAACCACCTGTAATCTGCAATATTCTGTATAACTCCAAAAATATATTTTTCTCTATCGACTACCACTATCATATGTTATACCTACACTTATACAGGTTATTTATCTCATTACTCATTAGTAAATGTGTTAATGTGTTTTTTAAAATTCGGAAAGATATTACTATTATGTTTGGAAATGTTTCTTCTAGTCTATTTGATTTTAAACATTTGTATGTACTAGAAATACTGAATTTAGAAATATCAAGTTCTGATAGATAGGTACTCTTTCAATTATTGTAGCCTGTAGGTATCAGGTATACATTCTAAAATTAATTCATTTTCATTAATCGCCACAGTATATAAGATAAGATATTTCATTTTATTTATAAATAGCACTCGCAACACTTCTATGTAATACAAATCGAAATTACCGATAACACAGCGCACACGTCAAAATAATATAACGTGTACCAGGAATAACTTTAAAATTTGAAATTAATCAAATTGTATTATTTTGATACAAAGTTAATTTTAATATTTTTTCGTTCGAGATATAATAGAAACATTTAAAAAAAATTTAAAATTATGATAGCCAGTAAATAATGTAATCTATGTGAATTTGGGGCCCTTAAAATTTCGGGGCCCCGGCCCCTTGCCTTAAGACGGCACTGCGGGTACCTATACCCATAGTAAGAATAAGAAGTATGATCAACTTGAACCGTGTTTTCGTCCTAGTTCTAGCATGTGCATCGCCTTGTGTTTTTGTGCATACTGCATTGCATACATTGACTAAATGTATATCCGTGACGTCGTCTAGTGTTTATTGTTGGTTGTCTATATAAATTATACATTGCCCCTTAAAAAAAATATGCGCAGTCCTATTATTGAGTATACTTCTTATTCCTTATACCATATTATACCATGCCTATAAAGGATGACTGCAGTCTGCAGCGTTGCGTAAGTTTCCACACCACAAGTATGCTTGTTAAACGAAATTATATCACATGTTGTTTAAAAGCAGGAGGTTAGGTTAGGTTAGGTACATTATTATTTATACATCGATAAAACATATTTTAATATAAATAAATATCAAATTTAACTTCTGATAGGTTTTAATTTTGTCGCCACACGGCATTCACACATTTTCAGCTTACTATAGCTTTGAATTTTAGTGAATTTCAGCCTCTTGAAAGGCGAACCAGGCTGCTATTTGTCACATAGTATTATAAGTCCAAGAGGATTAAATACAGTAGTTTTAAATTATTATGAATTAGGATGATATTCCCCGATCCTTATTTGAAATTCAACACTATCCTAATATTATAACTATAACTATATTATTATTACTATTATTATAATATTTATCATATATTTTTATTATATATATTATAATTTATTTATTATTATTTAGAGATTACCAATGTTCTATTTCTAAGTCTCCTACCACTCATTATTCCGATTGGACCTCTCTATTCAACCTGTTTTAAATTTCGTGAAACTCATTCATAATACACGGTGTTTCAAAAGTCTTCATCCAATTACGAACTGATATATTTCGGCAACGGTTAATCGCAGGTTAATGACCAATGTATTAATGGAAAGATTAGATAACTAAGTTTATTTTAAGTTATCTAGTTGATAAATTTGGCACCGTAATGGTTAGTGAACTAGGAATCGTTAGTTTGTTTTGCTATGGCGACTCCGCAATAGAAAGCATTTTGCGTCTTACGTTTCAATAAGTGCGAGTCGGCGATAACTGTTCAACGTGATTTTCGAAGAACTTATGGAACTGAAGCTCCTACTGCTCAAAGCATTCGACGTTGGCACCAAACTTTCCAAGAAAGTGGTTGTCTGTGTGCACAGAAACGCTCAAGTCGACCTCGTACCTCTGACGAAAACATCGAGCGAGTTCGACAAAGTTTCGTTCGAAGTCCACAGAAGTCTACACGTCGTGCAGGCTTAGAGCTAGATCTCCCACATTCGACCGTTTGGCGTGTGCTACGGCGTCGTTTGACATTGAAGACATACCGAATACAACTGTTACAAGCCCTCCTACCGGATGACAAACAAAAAAGGATTGATTTTTGCAATTTCATATCCGAAAAACAAGAAGAAAATTAGTCATTTGTCTCACGCATTGTTTTTTCGGACGAAGCAACATTTCATCTAAGTGGAAAAGTCAACCGCCATAATGTCAGGATTTGGGCTTTAGAGCAACCACACGCAACTGTTGAGCATCAAAGAGATTCACCAAAAATCAATGTTTTCTGTGCAATTTCCAGGAAAAAAGTTTACGGTCCATTTTTTTTCGAAGAAAACACAGTAACGGGTAACACATATCTTAACATGTTGCAAACAAGGTTGTTTCTACAGTTACAAGCGGATAGTGATGATTTTGTTTTTCAACAAGATGGGGCACCGCCGCACTGGAAGTTAGAAGTTCGCCGGTATTTGAACGGTGAACTCCCTCAGCGGTGGATTGGGCGTAAAGGAAACGACGATTTGGAGATTCATCCCTGGCCACCACGTTCCCCTGACCTCACAGTGTGTGATTTTTTTTTATGGGGCTACATAAAAGATAAAGTGTATGTACCACCATTACCTACAAACTTGGAAGAGCTTAAAATCAGAATCAAAGATGCTGTTAATGCCGTGACACCAGATTTGATCAGCAACGTTTGGAAAGAATTTGATTACCGTATAGATGTGTGTCGGGCGGCCGGTGGGGGTCATATTGAACATTTGTAACCAAAGTAAATAAAACTTGACTATTTTAAGAATATATTTTACTTTATTTAACCCTTATATCTTCATTTTTAATATAAATATAATATTCTGAAATCGGATGAAGACTTTTGATACACTCGGTATATTGTTTTACGGACCTGGAACTAAGTGTTTATTTTGTGTGTGTGACGCCGGCCGGCGATAAAGACTAGTGAGTGATGTGTTTGGTGTGGAGATGAAATGGTAAGGGGATGACAATATTAAATAAATATATTTTACAAAATACTTAATACATAAAATCATCTTACTTGGTGTAGGCATCTATAGTTTAGCTTACTTATGCTCCGACCAAGACATACCTATATCAAAATAATTCCTTATTGTCACTTGGACTTAATAACTTGCCTATAAAGCTTGACGGGTGTTGAAACATTGAAGGTGCATGAAAATATTTCAGTCTTCAGATCTGTGGCCTGAGAGATATAATCCTTCGTTAATAAATGATATTAATTGCATTCATATTGTTGATGTGCGTGCGTCTATGACTCTAAAAAGTGTAATTGTTTTATGTTGGAAATAAAAAAAATATAGGAAAACTTATGGAAAATAAAAAATAAAAATTATAAAAGCTATAGGAAAAATATAAATATTATTGATGAGAGTAAAAACTGATGTATTATATTATTACACAAATATATTTTGAACAAAATTAAAACGGTAATAATATAAATAAGAAAATTAAGAACTAGGCGTCTCTAGGCAGCATACTATTGAGCCAGCATATTTCTATTATATTTATTATAGTAATAAATATGAATAACTTGCTGTTAGTGTACGTTTGTTTTTGTGTTTGTGGCCAACACATGACCAAACAAGTTTATATCATGTAAGTTTAGCTCACCACTAAGGCGTCCATATTACATTCAGTATGTAGGTATTTAAAAACAAAACAAAACTACTTAACAAGAAATGAACGATCTAAGTCTTCCTGTTTAAAGCTATTATAATTCTAGTTCAAATCAGCCAGAGTAAAAAAGTAGGTACCTACTCAACTGAATGAAAATAATGTAATGGCATTATTAATTAGGATATAATTGAGATAGGAGAGTTGGACCACGTCGAGAGTCGTCCAGAAGTCTGAACTAGCAGTAATTTAAATAAATACTGGTAAAGCACGATTGAGCATGTACCTTTTAAATATTTGGTACGATGTTGCCACTTCAAGTGGCCGAAATTTTGTAATTTATTATTTTTATTATTATTTAATACACCAATTATTATGATATCAGAGGCGAGCCGTGAGCTGAGACCAACTTATCGACAATAATATTATCGATTATTAAATTAGTTCCGGAGCAATAAAGTTCCGACGTTTTAAACCTTTAAAATTGGGGGAAAACATAAGATAATAAATTAAGATACGCCATTCTAAAATTATTATAGAAATAATAGCAGTGTTCAATCACCCATACTCTATAGTATTCTTCACGTCTTATACTCTTATAAGCCATGCAGTATTTTTTTTAATTCATACCATATTTTGATTTTATTATTTTCATAACTATTATTATTATTGTCCAACAGATTTATGAAAGTGACCATAATATTATTGACTATATGAAATCATGTTATTTTTTTGATAGGTATGTTATATTTAGAATTATTATAATTATCAAAATAAATATTTTTGTATAGGTAATATAGTTTAAAATGGAAAATAGCAACGTTGCAGAGTTTTTTATGCTCAATCGTGTAGGTTTTCTTTTGTATTCCGATTTCCTTTGATACGCCGACAATTAGACTCAATCATGTAGCAAAATAGGTGTTTAATGCTCAATCGTGTGTCAGCCATTTTGTTTGGGTCTTTTATAATACAATATACTGGCCAAAAATAATATTTAATTTCTCTAATGGTAATCTCTGATAGTAAATTAATTTTTGATAATACTTATCTTTTATCGTAAGTAAACAATCCAAGCACAAAAAATTGTTATAACAGAACAGACCGTGTCAGTTTGTGATCTGTGTACCTACTACCTAGACACTGGCCACTGTGCCAGGTTCTCTTGCGTGTTTACCAATAATTGTGATATATATTTAAATTTTAAAGTATAACCGGTGTTATTGAATAACTAATAATTGGCAATATAATATAATGAATATGTTTTAGTATAGTATTATATATCATGTAAGCATTATTGCATTGTTGTAAAAACTTTGTAAATCTTTTGATTAATTGTTTAATTATGTCACTATGTTTTTGATACAATGAGTAGTATTTTGTGATCGATTTACAACATAAAATAGCATAATGACTACCAACAGTATGACGGCAGAAACCGGTCTCAATCAAATACTCAACGAAATAGCGGTAAATTACTTCATATTTTTGTAATAGCATGTAACATATCACCAGTCCCATTGATATTCATTTAAAGCCAACAATTATTGTAGTATGTGCAGAGGACGTGAAGTCATTAATGCCTTATAAGATAGGAAATTTTTGGTACCGGTTCGTTATATCACCCCCCATCTGAGCATGTAAAAAATATATAAATTGGATTTTTCGGCATTTACATTAGGTACTTGTCTTGGTAGAAATCTTTTAAATTAATTTTAATAATTTATGAAAAAGGGTATCAAATAATAGTATGTATTATATAAAGATGTAAATTGAATAATGACAAACAAAAACGTTCAAAGACCCACAGTGGTTTATTATTATACCATTTAATACTATATCGGTTCGATCATTGGTCTTAAATAACCCATACCTATTATGACATGATAAATACCTATGTAATATTGTAATACCATAGTAATGGTACATTTTTTAACGGATTATTTATTATTACGAATGGTGGGGAGATAACAAATATGAGTGGCTTTTATATATTATAGTTTATACATAGTGTATACCTAAATGTACATCTAATTGCTTACAAATATCAAAATAATATTTACATGATTGACTGTCGGTATATAATTATATAACTAGATATGTTTATCATTTCAGAAAGTTGATGAATTGGTTGAAGCATTCAATGGATATATTCAAAAAGATTCTCTAAACAACTGTGAACAAATTGAAAAATTATTCATGATGCTTACGAATATAGTCATCCGGTTGAATGATGAACAATTAAGTATGAGCATCAAAATTATATTAAAAACTGCTTCTACACAAACAGTTAGTGTTCGCCAAAAAGTTTTTCTGAATATGCTTCAAAAGTTAGTTCAAAAACATGGTGTTTCTTCAAGGTAAATAGAATTTTAATTGATTAAAATTAGAAAAAGTAAGATAGTATGTACCTATTTACTGCAATGATATTCTAATTGGTAAATGTCCAATGTACAAAATCTTAAAAATTAAAGCTATAATCGATAAAATACATACTCTGGCCAAGCATAGATGACTTGTATTTTTGGTTTTTTTTTTTTAAACTTGTTTATTGTATTATTTTAGATTATTTTGTTACACTTTATCAATAATAGTACTTGTATTTTATTTTGTTTACTATAGGTTAATGTGTGAATGTATAATTAATTCTGAATACCTCGTACATACAAATTCTGAATTCTGGATAGAGTGTTTTCATATAATTAAAAGTATATTAGATACAGTTGACTACAAAGGAGTTAGAGAAATATTGAAGGTAAAAATAATATTATTCTCTGAATGAAAATTGTATTATATCTAACTATGTCTTTATAACATTTAGGGTTGCTTTGACAAAGTGGTTGCAATGCCAAAAGCTTTACCTGCTTCTATATTGCCCCAGTTTCTTGCACTCGAAGAAGTCATCCGATACATATTTGATAGAGAGTCTTGTCTCCTTCCTGGTTATTTTGTTATTAATGAAATACTCAAAGTATACAGTGAAAACAAGGGATGGCCTCATTGGGTAAGCTACCCACTATTATAAATTTATATTCAACAATAGTGTTTGTGTCACTCATATAAATTGTTTTTGTTTAAAGAAACTGGGTTGTTTGGTATCAAACTTTGTGGAGAGTTTTCGGGGTGCTGCTCAAATGACATCAATGATTGGACATTCTTCTATGTTACCTGTAGTAGAACATTCTGGTTATGCCGATCACTTGATCACTCCATGGAAATTAGACCCAAATACATTAAAACTGACCTTAAAAGGAAATATACCATACCCTAAACAACTGTTGCAGCCACAGACAAAATTATTAAGATATGTACTTGAACAGCCTTATTCTAGAGATATGGTTTGCTCCATGCTTGGTCTACAGAAAATGGTAAATATTAAAATCGTAATTGTTATTCTGAATAAATTAATTCATAGTTTTTAAAATATGTTTTTGTTCTATGATATAAGTTATAACTAACAAAGCTAATGGATATTTTGAATAAGTCAGAATATTGAATTTTTAAACAAGTATTGCTCAGAAGCAGAATAATTTTTTGTTGTCGTAATATAGTGACTATCTAAATAAATTTGACTGACTTTGTAGATGATAGATATATATTATATATTATTATTATTCCAAACATATACCTAAATATAATAATAACCACCTGTTGAAACATCAGTAAATTCTGGACAAATGAAATCCATCAATTTTGATTCTTTTTTTGAAAAACTTTATGTATACTATTTTATCCCTTTCATTCCAATATAATTGTATTCAGTGCTAATTCTATCTTTTTTAGAATAAACAAAGGTGTATAGTATTGGAAGAACAGTTGGTAGAATTAATAATTAGATCAATGGAAAAAAGTGATAAAGAAGTGACAGAAGGTGCAGACCCAGAAGAAAACCATTGGCTATGGTTACATATTTCCAGTCAATTAATCTATTTTATATTATTTCAATTTGCTGTATTTCCAAATGTTGTCAATGCTCTTCACGAAAAAGTATAAAAATATTTTTAACCTTAATTTTAATTTTACCTATTTTTTTAACGGGTGATTTTTAATTTCAACTATAGTTGTTAAAAAAAGATTTACATAGATCAAGAGATCGTTTGATGTGGGTACTTTTACAATA